AGATTTATAATAATTATTTAATTGTTCTACATTCAATGTTTTCATAGGAACTATTTTATCATATATTTTAGAAATAAGTATTTCTTCATTTTTCATACATTCATAAAATACTTGAGCTACGTTTGGACCAGAATATGTTACAGGAGGTTTATAATCACCATTACTATATTTAATATAATAACAAAAATTATTAGGTATATGTTTCTGATAACAATTAGTAAAAGACTCTGTATCATTTGGTTGACAAGTATATATTGGTTTAAGAGTACATTCATAGTCAGCAAAAACCACAAAAGGTACTCTTAAGGAATGATTATAATTTTGAAATTCTAAAGTTTTATTATAGGGTTCTGGTAGAACTATTTTAGCAGCTTTATTATTAGCACAATAATGTTTATGATCATTTAACTTATCTTCTGTACCAAAACTATTTAAACACATTTTACAGAAAAATCTTTTATGACCATCTTTTGTATTTTGTCTTCCTACTACTTTCCATAAATCTTTAATCCAACAATAATGTCCTTTATTCACATTATCCTTATCATCCACTGTTAAATATAATAAATCTATATGATTAGTTTTTTCGATTTTAGTTATTTCACCTAAAGGTTCAATTACATTTTTAACTAAATAAAAAATATTAATAGAAATATCTTTTGTTCTTTTAACAAATTTCGGAACGTCTGTGATTTTTACCGGAAATTCAATATCTTTAAATTCTTTATCAAATTCATTTTTAAAAGGAATATATTTAGTTACTCTTTGAGCATCTTTTTCAACAGGATGTAAAGCAGAGAGTATTGCCCAAAGAAAACATTTATCATCTTCATTTTTAACATTTATAATACCCTTTTTATTACTAATATGTTTAGGTAATGGAATATATGAAGAACCCTTAAAAGGAACATATTTATTTATATTTATTCCCAAACTTAAAATTTTATGAATTTTCCATTGTGAATCTTTCATTATAAAATCATCTTCTTCTTTTACAATTTTTATTTTTGCATTTTTATAAAATTCATTTAAGTTAGAATTTTTTGTTAAAATTTTATTTTGTGTTTTAAAATTTTTTTCCTTATATTCCATATTTTCTTCATTATTACCTCTCTTATATATAACAAGAAACATAATATTAACTTTTAAATTTTGATTCTTTAATTCTTGTTCAAGTCGTTCAATAACTGGATTATCTAAACGATTTAAAAATGTTTGTATATCTTTAAAACCTATATTATTTTTAATAATATAAGTTTTTAATCTACTTTGAAATGCTGTTTCTACAGTTTTAAAAACAAGTTCTTTTCTTGGTCTTATACCATTGTTTTGATGTCGAATAGATTGCACATGTTTAGACCAACTGTTGTATTTAACTGTTAGCTTACAAATATCACAAGTTTTATCTGTTTTTGGTATTCTCTCTTGTCTTGTTCTTACATTTGTTGTTGTTGTACCTCTGTATGTTCGTCTAAATCGAGGTATAATTGTTTGATCTGGATCATTGTTTTGATGACGAATAGATTTCAAATGTCTAGACCAATTTTTGTAACTAACTGTTAAGTTACATTTATCACAAGTTTTGTTATCCATTTGATTATTTTTAACATTTCCTTTAACTAAAGGTTCAATTTTATTTAAGCCTTCCATTTATTATAGAGAATATTATTTTTTTTTTACATTCAATATTTTAATAAAAATAATTTTTATTAAAAATAATATTTAAATAATATTAAGATCCCATACTAAATTCACACATTTTAATATTTCCTAAATCTTGAATAATCTTAATATTGTCTAGATAATAGTGATGATAATCACTTGTTGCAATAATTTGGTCATTAGCTATTTTACAAAGTTCTAACCAAGTTGGTGAATGTAATAGTTTAGAAATATAAGGCTTTCCATTTCCAAAATCAACATCTCCTTGACTAATAATAAAAATATTTCCTTCAATTGGAATTTTATTTAGATTATATTTAATACTCTCAGAATTTTCATAGTATTCAAAAACACAAAATTTCACATAACATTTATTTTTTTGTATACTTTTTTTTATTTCATTTCGCATTAATTTCAAAAAATTAAAATTTTTAGTCTATATTGATTAATTGGTACACCATTATATTTTGTATTAACTCTACAAGGTAAAATTGTTTGATCTTTATCATTTTTTTGATGACGAATAGATTTTAAATGAGAAGCCCAATTTTTGGAACAAATTGTTAAATTACATTTATCACAAGTTTTAGCAGGGTATATTTTTTTATTTAATACATCCATTTTATTATTAATATCAATTTCTTTAACTAAAGATTCAATTTTATTTAATCCTTCCATTTTTTATTATAGAAAATATTATTATTTTTTTACATTCAATTTTTAATAAAAATAATTTTTATTTAAAATTCTATTTAAATAATATTAAAGATTTTAGGTTATAGTGAAAATATAAAAACTTTACAAAAATTTATACAAAATAATATTCCTGAGAAATATAAGAAAGAAAGAGTTGGAGTATCCGGAATACTCCAACCCTCATCTCCTACTAAAAAAAGAAAGAGGTGGTCTACTTCGAATAGACCACCCCTTATATCCTAGTGTTAATAACAATAAAGACAAAGAAATATTTATTTCAGAAGGAGGTTTATATAGATATCACTTCCTTTAACTTAGGTCATATTATTAAAATTCTGATTTTTGTAACTCTTCGTTATAAAAACTCCCTATAATCTCTTTATTGTTTAAATCTGTAATTTTATAGGTAATAGGAATTGTGTTTAAAATTTCATTAACTATAAATATTTCATCAGTCCAATTTTTATTAAATTTATTATCAAATGTTTTTTTATAAGCTGTTATTCTTACTCTATCACCTACACTAAATTTAATTTTTTTTTAGGTTTGTTTTCTGTAGAAAATAATTTGTAAAAAACAACATCTTCGTTAGATTTATTTACTTCACAAGGTCTCATACCAATAGATCGATGTACGTCTTCGAAATTATATTTATCTATTAAACTTTGTAAAATTTTAATCCATTTTTTAGAATTTGTAAATTCAAATTGTATTCTCATTTTGTTGTTTAATGTCTTATTAAATCTTTCAATAATTGATGATTTTTCTTCATTTTGGGTGTGATACATTTCAATTCCATATTCTTGTAAAACTTTTTTAAAATGTTTATTTTCAAATTCCAAACCTTTATCTGTATGAAGTTTTTTTGGTGCTTGATGATTTTGAGATATAGCTTGTTTTATTATTTTTTCAAATGCTTCTGAAACATTAATTCCATCTTTCTTTTTGAGTTCTAAAGCCCAAGACAATTTTGAAAATGTATCTATAACAGTTAATATATAAGAATAATCCTCATTTTCATCAGAATAATTTCTCATATAACTAAATCAGCAGCCCATAAATCATCTATACCTTTAGTAATTATTCTTCGTTTAGGAAATTTTTTTCTAACTGGTTTATGAAGTTCTTTAGCTAATATCATTTTATCTGTATCATTTAATTTTTTATTGGAAATATTATGTCCAATTGTAGGATTTTTTTATAAATTTACTTTTATTTATCAATATCATTGTATATGAAAACTGATTCTGAGCGGAGATGGTCTGTCAGCCTGTAATCTATATCAAATATATTTCATGATATTGCTATTGAAATAGCTTATTTTACTATTACTTATTAGTATTAAGGGGTTTGATTTAATTTATGCTGAGAACATTGCATATTTTATATTAAATAAATAATTATAAATAGCTTAAAAGTCAAAATATTTTGAAAATTATTCCACGTATAGAAAATAATCATATTAATATTTGGTAAAAAAATCTAGTATCAACATTTGTTATTTGTTTTGAATTACAATAAAAATTGTTTGAAAAAAAAATAGTTTTTTTTACCTTGTAATCAATCTGTATAATATCTAAGATGTGAAAAATAAAAATTATGAATTTCTAACTTCAAAATAAGTTTCTTTTTCGGAAAATGACAAGCGGTTGTTTGCCAATCAAACCTGGTTGCCACTGAAGTTTTTTAACGTGTACGGAGTATATAGATACTTTACTCGTACATAAGATTTTTAACTGTCCATTTAATGAACTCTTAAAAGATAAATTTAAGGTCTTATAATAAAATAAATATTTTTCCATGATTTTCTTAGATACAGTAAAATCTCAATAACTCAAATGTTTCTCTTGTCCCTTGCAGTGTTCTAAGTTATATTTGGGGCTTATAATTTGAAAAATACCTATGACATCAAATTTATTTTTATTCCCCTCGAGATTCAACTTTAACCTGTATAAATAAGGACGTTTTATTGGTGGTAACATAATAAACATTACTCAAACATATTTATTTTAATTTGTATAGAATTTTTCAACTTGATTAAAAAAAAAAAAATTCCATTAACGTAGCCATATTAAAATGCAATAGAAGATTTTAAATGGGATTTCGTGAAATATAATAGTAGTTCTAAGTTAGAATTAAAAGTTGTAATAAAAGATAAAATAATATGGTGAAAAATACTTTAATGTTTAAAATAATACAAGTATTGAATGATTATACCCAACATCTGAACAAATAAAAGTAACTATATTAACTTAAGCTAACATATTATTTTGCATTTAAAATTGAAAATATGTTTTTAACAATTATAGTCCTTCTCCATAATATCATAGTTAATATCAACTTTAATTATCTTGAATTTGACGAAATGCAATTCTTTCTTGATAAAAATTGATTACTACTTGTGGGTACATTAAATTAGCCTCTTCAGCAGGGATATAATGAAGTGTTTCAATTCATTGAAACTTCAATAAAAACGTCCATCGTCCATTAACATAACCTACACTAATAACTTTCTCTACTATTTTCATAGTTGGAGTAGTGACATAATCCTATCTTCTCTGACACATTTTTCTCATTATCATTAACATTAGAATTATTTTCGGTCAAGTCGGACTTGTTGGAATCATCAGTCTTTTCAACAGTTACCATTTTTTGGGAAAAAAATTGATTTTACCCTCTTTAGATGGACCAGCTTCTGATGATGCACAACTTGTAACGGTTGAATTAGATAGTGAATGTTCACGGACCCCTTCAATTCCTTTCTTTTTAATTCTATTCTTTTGTTTTTGTTCAAAATCTCTAATCAACTCTTCACAAAGAAGATGTTTTTTAGGTTCCCAAGTATTGTCTGCCTCATCATAGACTTTCCATTTAAGAAGGTATTCCACCTTATTGTTTCTTAGACGTTTATCTACAATTTTATCCACTATATATTCATCTTCTTGTTCAACTAATTTAGCCCTGGAAAAAAAATACATTAAAATTTTATAATAATATGTCAAAATAGATGTATTTTTTAATTCATAATATTTATAATACATCACGTAAATTGTTATCCATAGGCTAATACTTTATAACTATGTCACCAACTAGCAACTAAACTAATGGTTTTATACACACTTCACCAGCAGAACCAATAAGCATTAATTCAATCAAGCTTTATATTCATAGGTAGGTTATAGGTCCATCAATATATTTAAAGTTTGGATTTACAGTATTTTAGTTAGTGGACATTTAGAGATACAGTTAGAGATCAATTATAAAGGTTATGAATATTAAGTGTCCTAAAACTATGCCTTTTTTAATATGTTGTTAAACAATTAATTTTTATAAAAATAATTATGTTTTTTGATTTTAGTAAGGTGTACCATAAATTCCTCACTATTTATTGATTTGAAAAATACACTATCAATTATGGTTCCGTGGCTCACTGACCACAAATTTATTGTCGCATAAAGCAATGAAGACCGGTTGTCGAGACCGTCGTGTGTTACTGTTATTGCTTATCCATTTTGTAGATCTTTATTGTTGTACCAGGGGTACACAGTTGTCTAAAAGGTATATAATTTATTAATTTAATGAATTAGGTAGGTATATTATATCATCTATATTATAGGGTATACAATTTAATACAGTATCTTCAAGTATGTACCATTGGCCATACTATATTATACCATTTATTTATCAGTAGGTACATAAACGTCTATTGACTTTTAATATTAATAACTAAATACACTGAAAGTTATAACTAATATTAAGACAATTATAATAAATTGTAGCATCATGGAGCGATATTTAAAAATGCTATTTTTTGCTAAAATATTGAAATAAGAGGTGTGAAAATTCGAGCCCTATAAGGTAAAAGGGCGTAATCGACAATTTTGGCGAAAATGAGATATTGGTATCAACATTTTTCTAAAATTTAGACTTATCGAACTGTAAAATGGCTAAGCGACAATGAGTTCAAACTTATTGTAAACATTACTATCTACCAAATATACATACAAAGATTGCTTTATGGTTGAATTATATAGTGAACGTTCAACTTTTTACCTTTTTATCATATTTTTTTGTTTTTCTTTTTGTTTTGTTTCTTTTTGTATCTCTTAGATTTAAAAAGAAAAAGGTGGGCAAGTGGGTGTCGCTCTGCTGTACAGTAGGTTACAAGTGGGTCACTGTATAATGGATGGTATTAAATTTGAATTCAATGATATAATATCATTGTATAAGAAAAACGATTCTGAGCGGTGATGGTATGTCAGTCTATGTATAAGGCATATTATATACATATCTATGGTATTAAACAAAAAATTGACCTATAATAGGTACCTATAATAAATTCCAAATTAATCATATCACAATATCCATTAGATACTTATAACGCGTTATACATCAACAAAAACCGTGATACTATCATAGATATATAATAGTACACTTTAGAAGTTTCAAGTACCCACGAATAGTATTATTCAATCACAACAAAATAACTAAAATCGTAATTCTTGGTTTAAATATGAAATTTTGTCTAAATTTGAAATTAAAATGTCTGTAAAAAATAAGTGTGTTTATATATTTTTTAGATTTTTTGGTTACAGTATGAATTATTTAAGAGAATCTTTGTTTTAAATTTTCAACTCTTAGTTATAAAAACTGAACATTTTATAATTTTTTAATTCCAACGATTGATAATTTTCGAGATTTTGATAAATTTTGTCAAAATTCCAACTTTAAATGCTTATAAAAAAAAATCGTGCCTATGTATTTTTAATATTTTTCAACTGATATTGTAACAATATATCAGGAGCCTTGTATTAAATTTTTACACTTTTTGGCCCAACAGATAAAACTTTATTGATATTTATAGAAAAAAAAACTAAAAAAAATTGAAAGCTGTAAATGTCCATAAACAGCTCAAAAAGAGTCAAAATATTTTCAAAATTGTATGGTGTATATGAAATGCTAATATAAACATTCAGTGAAATTTTCATGTATCTACAGTTATTCGTTTTTGAATTACAACAAAATAAGGAAATCGCTACATGAGAAATCGAGTGAAAATCCAATGTTGTAAAAATTTGAATTTCAAACGCTCATAAAAATTTAATTTGACTGTCCGGTAGAGATTTTTTTATTGATAAAGGTAGATAATCTTATAAGGAATCTTGTGTTTCATTTTAAAATCTTAGATTTAAAAAGAAAAATTTTTACGAATTCTTAACTCAAAATAATTTGCTAATTTTCGTGATTTTTCCATATTTTGTCAATTTTTGAACTTTAAATGCTTATAAAAAAAAATTGTGACTAAGGATTTTTAATATTTTTCATCTGCCTTTGAAACAACATATTAGGAGCCTTCTATTAAATTTTCAAGCTTTCGCAACCAACAAATAAAATTTTATTGATATTTCTAGAAAAAAAACTAAAATAAAATGAAAAATGAAAATGTCCCTAAACAGTTCAAAATAAATCAAAATATTTTGAAAATGTTATCGTGTATAGAAAATGCAAATATAAACAACCAGTGAAAATTTCATGTATCTACGGTCATTTGTTTTAAAGTTACACCAATAACCAAATTCGATTTTTTGGAAAACCAATTTTACGTAAAAATTCTCGTTTTTCCTTAATTTTTATGTTGTTTTTCCCGGCGCTTGTGAAAACTACTGGGAAATTTATACTTTTGACCCCCCAAAGTACCAACTAGATTCACTTTCCTATCAGAAAAGCTACTGATGAAGAAAATCCAAGCACTTTTACTGTCCTAAAACGTGATGACAGACACAAAAATATAAATAAAAATATAAAAAAGGTGGGCAAGTGGGTGTCGCTCTGCTGTACAGTAGGTTACAAGTGGGTCACTGTATAATGGATGGTATTAAATTTGAATTCAATGATATAATATCATTGTATAAGAAAAACGATTCTGAGCGGTGATGGTATGTCAGTCTATGTATAAGGCATATTATATACATATCTATGGTATTAACCCTTTCACTACCACTGTCCATCTCAATGGACATGCATTTATATTCATTACTGAACATCAACATTTGATTACAATGACGTTATTTTACATTTTAATTGTTCGCTAAATTGTATAGATTAAGATAACCGCCTATAATTTATCTATAAATTATAAGGTTTTTGTAAATTAATAATTAACAATTGAAAATTTGAAACAGATGGTTATGCGTAAAAGTACGCAACATTTTTCTACTTTTTCTTTATTTATATTATTGTTGGCTACACTGGGTATTTTTTTCTTACATATTAGTTAGTTACAGAAGCAGTTGCTACAGTAAATATTTTGATATTATATTTTTTTCACCTGATAACACACGTTTGATGTTATGTCCATTTGAATGGACACTGGGAGTTCATGCCTTATAATATTATGATAACAATATAATAATATTATCACTGATATGAACTTTTCCGTTGAAAAATAATTTATAATTTTAAGTAAAGTTAAACATTTTAACGATGGCTTTAAACGAAGACCAAATTATATGTATAAATAGGTATATATCCTATGTTACGTTTTTTTTTATTTTAATTTTAATTTTAATATCATAATAAAAATAAATTGTGATATCTTTAACGGAGTAACTATTACATTTGTAATTCGTTTGTTATTATCAGAGACTGAAACATGAAACAAAGTTACTAATGAAAAATAGTTTAAGTATTTAGGAATATATACCAAATTAGGTATATCCTGTTATAAATATAAATGTAAAACGTATTTTATTACATATAATTATATTGTATTTGATATTACGTTTTTGTTTTTGTTTTCATAATATTGTATCTATACACAAATAATTTTTTTTTCATTTGAAAATACACATAAAGAATATCTACATTAATTATAATTTTTAACCGTAACTCCCAATGTCCATTACAATGGACGATCCTGTAAATCCTTCAATAATCCTTCAAATGTTATCAAACTTGGGGAGATTGTTAATTTATGACCATAAATAAAAATAAAGTAAAAAAAAAAATATTGGTCGAGTACAATTAAATGGGTAATGAAAGGGTTAAACAAAAAATTGACCTATAATAGGTACCTATAATAAATTCCAAATTAATCATATCACAATATCCATTAGATACTTATAACGCGTTATACATCAACAAAAACCGTGATACTATCATAGATATATAATAGTACACTTTAGAAGTTTCAAGTACCCACGAATAGTATTATTCAATCACAACAAAATAACTAAAATAGTTATTCTAGGTTTTTTAATATGTAATTTCGTCCAAATTTGAATTTAAAATGTCTGTAAAAAATAACTGTGTTCATATATTTTTTAGATTTTTTGGTTACAGTATGAACTATTAACGAGAACCTTTGTGTTGAATTTGCAATCCTTAGCTATAAAAACTGAACATTTTATAATTTATTAATTACAATGATTGATAATTTTCGAGATTTTGATAAATTTTGTCAAAATTTGATCTTTAAATGCTTATAAAAAAAAACTGTGCCTATGTATTTTTAATATTTTTCAACTGATATTATAACAATATATCAGGAGCCTTGTATTAAATTTTTACACTTTTTGGCCCAACAGATAAAACTTTATTGATATTTATAGAAAAAAAAACTAAAAAAAATTGAAAGCTGTAAATGTCCATAAACAGCTCAAAAAGAGTCAAAATATTTTCAAAATTGTATGGTGTATAGAAAATGCTAATTTAAACATTCAGTGAAATTTTCATGTATCTACAGTTATTTGTTTTTGAATTACAACAAAATAAGGAAATCGCTACATGGGAAATCTAGTGAATATTCAATGTTGTAAAAATTTGAATTTCAAACGCTCATAAAAAATTAATTTGACTTTCTTATAAACATTTTTCTTTTGATAAAGGTAGACAAACTTATAAGGAATCTTGTGTTTAATTTTCAAATCTTAGATTTAAAAAGAAAAATTTTTACGAATTCTTAACTCAAAATAATTTGCTAATTTTCGTGATTTTCCCATATTTTGTCAATTTTTGAACTTTAAATGCTTATAAAAAAAATTGTGACTAAGGATTTTTAATATTTTTCATCTGCCTTTGAAACAATATATTAGGAGCCTTCTATTAAATTTTCAAGCTTTCGCAACCAACAAATAAAATTTTATTGATATTTTTAGAAAAAAAACTAAAAAAAAATGGAAAATGAAAATGTCCCTAAACAGTTCAAAATAAATCAAAATATTTTGAAAATGTTATCGTGTATAGAAAATGCAAATATAAACAACCAGTGAAAATTTCATGTATATACGTTCATTTGTTTCAGAGTTACACCAAAAACCAAAATCGATTTTTTGGAAAACCAATTTTGCGTAAAAATTCCCGTTTTTCCTTAATTTTTATGTTGTTTTTCCCGGCGCTTGTGAAAACTACTTTGAGATTTATACTTTTGACCCCCCAAAGTACCAACTAGATTCACTTTCCTATCATAAAAGTTACTGATGAAGAAAATCCAAGCACTTTTACTGTCCTAAAACGTGATGAGAGACACAAAAAAAAATAAAAAATAAAAAAAAAAATAAAAAAAAAAATAAAAAAACACACATCATTGTAAAATCAATACATTCATCGTTTCACTCAGAATCTAATATAAAAACATACATCATTGTAAAACCAATACATTCATCGCTCCGCTCAGAATCTAAAATATAAATAAAAATATAAAAATATAAAAACATACATCATTGTAAAACCAATACATTCATCGCTCCGCTCAGAATCTAAAATTTTTATGAATTGCCAACTCAAAATATTTTTGCTAATTTTCGTGATTTTTCTATATCTTTTCAATTTTTGAACTTTAAATGCTTATAAAAAAAAAACTGTGTCTAAGAATTTTAAATATTTTTCAAATTTCATTGTAACAATATAGTAGGAACCTTGTATTACATTTTCACGTATTTTTACACAACAAATAAAGTTTAATTTTCATTCATAGAAAAAAAAACTAAGAATATTGGAAACTGAAAATGTCCCTAGACAGTTAACAACAAATCAAAATGTTTTGAGAATTTTATGGAGTATAGATAATGCAAATATAAACAACCAGTTAAGAATTCATATCAACGGTCATTTGTTTCAAGGTTATCATAAAAATCCCCGTTTTTCCTTAGTTTTTATGTTGTTTTTCTTGGCGTTTTTGAAAACTATTGGGAATTTTAAAATTTGACCACCCGTGTGCACCAAATAGATTCAATTCCCCATCGAACAAGATACTGTTGAAGAAAATCGAAGCAGTTTTACTGCCTCAATCCGTGATGAGACACAAAAATGGAAATAAATAAACACACATCATTGTAAAAACAATACATTCATCGTACCACTCAGAATCTAAAAGACTATAAAATTCAGTTTATGTAATAATTAGAATATTAGATAAATTACAGTTTTTTATTTCGCGAGCATAGTTAGGATACAGTTAAATGATATTTATTTTACACGTGATTCAAGTGTAAACATCATAAAATAATAAAAAGACAATCAAAACTGTTCATTTATTGTCTACGGTTGAATATGAATATTTGATGATATACTAGGTATATGTTATATGCAATGTACTAGTAGACATGCATGTGTACAAATATTATAATTTATTATAAACTAATTATTATAACAAATGAGTTATCACAATTTATATTGTATACCTACATATTATATTATTATATCATTTTCTCTAAACGGCTATATTTTACTTAAAATGTACTTAACGTACGACAATCATCATGAGCCAGAAAATATTGTTAGTACTAATTATAGATAAATCGATGAATCGACTAATAGTGTAGGGGTCCGTGGCCTGTAGATCTAGAATTGTAAGTACTAGTTAGTAATTACATATTACCTATAGTTATATAATATGTAATATATAGATATATGCGGTAATTATATTCAAATGGATCTCGTAACGAATTGTAACACAATACCTTCTTATAACATTTAATGTAATACGTAAAGGGTGTGTACTATCGCAATGCACAAAAGCGATGTGCGTCGGACATAGGTACACGATTGCAGTTAAAAAAATGGTGAACCCGCAGCTTAAAAAAATAAAATTAGTATAAAATAAGTGTTCCTATCTATACTCTAAAATACAAATACATTTCATTGGGAATCTAAAATAACCGTGTCCATAAACCCCCCTGATCTGCACGTATCTTAGATAAGATTGTATCTTGTATCTCGGTACAATCATATGAAGTATCGAATACATAAATGCGATACTTTGATAAATAATATTTATTATGATTATTTTCACAAGCCTACCTATCATCCGCGAATGTTTGACTATGTTTTAGTTTAATATGTGTAAACGGCGCTGCAAATTTGAAATTATGAACACCACAATTTAATTGCAATAATAATTATTTTAGAATTAAAAATAATTCTGTTTGTACCATTGAACTTAATATGTATTTTGGTAATACAAATACAATTAAGTAAGTAGTTACAGTTGATTTCAAATTTTTGTAAAAAACAAAATAGATTTTGTCAAAACCTCAATCATCGAGTATTCTAAAAAAAAAATAATGTTTGCCATTATAACAAATATATTAAACAACATATTTGGAGAAAGCTTCCAAACAACCTGGCACTTCTATTTGAATAAATACTTTCAGAGCTTAAAATCCCTACCCCTATTTACGAGCATTATTATTATTTGCCCCAATACGATATCGTTTGTATACTGCAGGTTTGGATAAAGAGATTTGAAGGTGATTGACCCGGGTGATATTTAACTTTTGATTTCAACAGCAATTAATAAGAATCAGTGGTTGATTTATGTAAAAAGGGTAAATAGTTCGACACTAAAAATGTGCTACACAGTCGTTCTTTTTGCGTTATATTCGTTCAGATAATATCATTTATCTACGGTATCTTTAGACTTACCGTTATAGTTTAAATCAATAATGTCATTCATAATATTTGATTTTATCTCATTTTTTAAAAATCTCAATAAATCAATACAACAATGTTGAATGTCGATTTTTATTGTCTCTAAATCGTCATAAAATGTTCTTTCTTCTTCATCGCAAACATAGTAGGCTAACTTACGCAGAGAAAATATTTTCCAGATCTGCAAAACAATTAACATTTTAAAGAACTTTTGGTAAAAAATGTAGTACACCTTAAGTTTGTTAAGGAATTAAGCAGTTTTATTTTTGCATTCGATTCATTTTATTTGATTTTATTGGATGTATAGAACAAGTAATTATAATGTTTTGCCCAAGTTTATTTAAATACAATTGAGTATTTTTATGTATAATTTTGTGTTAATTATATTATTTTATTTTTTATGTACATTTTGTGTCATATTAAATAAAGTTAAATATATTAAAATTTCAAACAGTATTTTGTTTATAATGTTTAAAATACAACACTTTCTACCAGAAAACATTCTGAAGTTTAAATTGAAGTATTTTTTTAAATAATTTTTGTGTATATATATTATACTTGTATATTATTTAATATAATATCTAAAAATGTACGTACTTGTGTACCTATTTAAAGGTTTTTTTTTTGACTGTCATTCTTTTAACTTATACTTGAATAAAAATCAAAGGCCCCAATTGTTTGTCCATGCATCACTTCACCCTATTTGGCTAATCATTTTTTTTTTTTTTGTGGCCGTAGACAAAGTTTGTATGAAAAAAATTTAATGAAATCTAAAGTAGGTAAATCTGTAGGAAATCCGAATGGCAAGAATACAACAGGTTCAGCCAAAAAATAATATGTTAATTGTATTTCGTTTGTTATAAGGGTGCTCTTGGTTACAAAAAATAAAATAGTTAAAGATCTGAAAAAAGATAATTAAAAATTTTTAAAAAAAATAACAGCAAATTATATGAGAACATTAGAAAACTAAATCAAAAAATGTATTGTATTGTATTTTTTTTTTAATGTCTTGGAGCAAATGTAAATTTTGAACAATATGGAGAAAATCGTATAGTTTCTTAAAAACCTGATGAAAGTGGTCAAGATGTTATTGAACTTATTGCATCCATACCAGGAGTTGAGTTTTAATAATAATAATTATATTAATATGTATATTTTGCAAAAACATAGTTGATACATTATAATATTATATACAATTAACAAAAATTAAATTGCATCACCCCCTAAAAGCCGAGCTTGTGGTGGGGAAACAGATCTTATCGGTTATAATTTACATATTATAGCATAAAATAATAATAATAATAATAATAATAATAATAGTACATCTTAGAATAAAAAGTATAGTGAGTAATATTTTAATTAGAATAAATGTCTAAATTAAGGACAGAAAAAATGTAGTATGGTAAGTAAACAGTAATGTATTTACTAATATTAATTATGTACTAGATAAATCAATATTTACATAGCTTTTGAATGAATTGAAATTACAAAAATAATTTATATTAATATTTTTAAAGTTTGGCAAAGTTTTAGACCATGATTGTGTATAACATTAATTTGCCCAAAAACATTATAACTTATATCTAAGTTAACAATAGTTAATGTTTTTCGGCCTCACTTCAGATTCTAAATAAAGTAATAGACCGAGAAACATTATTGCAATGGTACACTCGATAGAAAACAAACAAAAAATAATGAAGTCTGCTAAAAAAAAGAAAATGAATACGAATCAGGGCAGAGGGGCATATCATTTATCTACGCTATCTTTAGACTTACCGTCATAGTTTAAATCAATATTGTCATTCATAATATTTGATTTTGTCTCATTTTTTAAAAATCTCAATAAATAAATACAACAATGTTGAATGTCGATTTTTATCGTCTCTAAATCGTCGTAAAATGTTCTTTCTTTTTCATCGCAAACATAGTAGGCTAACTTACGTATAAATTTATAATTAATAATTATATATTATATAATTATAAACATTTATATTGTATTTCTATTTTTATAGAATTATTATTCACAAATAAAAATAATAATTAGAAAAAATGTAATCCATAAATATAATATAATAAATAAACGATAAACCTCAGTATATCACAGTAAAACGTGCTTCGGAAAAATAATTGAAATCCTCAAAAAAACTACTTCGGAGAAGTAAAAAAGGCTTTCTGTGCGTAAGTTGAAGAGATTGGGAGAAAAGATAGAACTTTGGTGTTAATAAAGAAGTGAAATCAATACCCAAATTATGTGCCTCAACTTGAAAAAATATCTTATTCAAAAAAATTTCGAGATGTTCAACTGTACAAACATTAAAAAAAATATTAGCACAGAACGGCGTACAATAATGATGAATTAATAAAATTAGCCATAAATTGTCGACTTGTTTACGAGTTAATCTGTTTGATTCGAATTTTTGTTGACAAACTGTAATTCACGCCGTTCTGTGCTAATATTTTTTTTTTAATGTTTTACAGTTGAACATCTCGAAATTTTTTTGAATAAGATATTTTTTCAAGTTGAGGCACATAATTTGGGTATTGATTTCACTTCTTTATTAAGCCCCAAATTCTATTTTTTCAACCGTGGCCCTTTTTGGCACAGAACTTTGAGATTGATTTCACATCTTTATTAACACCAAAGTTCTATCTTTTCTCCCAATCTCTTAAACTTACGCAAAGAAAGCCTTTTTTACTTCTCCGAAGTAGTTTTTTTTGAGGATAATATATACACAAAAAGTATTTGAAAAATACTATTATACAAATATATATATATATAAAAATATAATGAACATACAAATAGTATAATATGTAATTAATTTATAATAATTATTGCTCATAAGTGTACAGTATAAAGGTATGAAGGTTACAGTATAAATATAATATATAGACAAAAAATGATGCTCTGCTGTACAGATGGTTGCACTTAGGTCACTGTATAATGGAATTTATTAAATTTGAATTTAATGATACAATATCATTGTAAAAGAAAAAGGATTCTGAGTGGAGACGGTATGGCAGTCTAGGCATAATGCATATTATATACATATCTATAGTATTAAAAAAAAAATTGATTCTTAATAGGCACCTATAATAAAATAAGTAAGTAATAATATATCAATACTTTGTAAAATGTTATGGTGTATAGAAAATGCTAATTACATTTAGGTACACTATAAGTACACTAAATACAAGTTTTACACATTTTCCGACCCACGATCAATTAATAAATAAGTGCCCCTGGCTCTCTCTTTTTTTTATCATTATAATATATATTTACTATAATATAATATTAGAATGTAAATATTTTATATTTGTATTATATTATACTAATGATATGTTTTGTAATTATTATGCATAGGTATTAGTGTATCACTGTAATACTGTATTAGGAAGGCACATATTTTATGTAAATAATTGTTTTGTCGTATCTTATGATATTATTAACTATAAAGGCATAGATATAGGTAAACTTGTAAAATTCGAACACAGTAATCGACATGTGTGTGTATTTACATTGATTATTATTTTTATTTCTGTTTTTCTATATAACGCCCGTCTACAGGTGCGGTTCTAGGACTATACATTTACAGTAGATTTATAATAAAGTTAGGTTTTAACAGCGAATAATATTATTTATTTTTTTATGTGTGACGTAGTAGTATTACTGATCATATTAGTTTAATCTTAAATAATAATACAAATTACGATAAGAAAATCAATTATTTCTACGAGTAAAATCGATTGAAAAACTGTTCAATACATAACTTGCCATAACCTTTTCAAAACCTGCAACACCTATCACGTTTTGGTCTGACCCAAAATTTTTAAAGCATTAAAAACAATGCTTACAATTTAGGTAGATTTATTTTGACACTGTCAACCGTTTAATTTTTATTTTTTACATATAAATAAACTTATTCTGAGTGTTTATGTACAATTTTTTGTTATTAGTATTAGTATTTAATATCAATGAAACCAAATAAAATATATTGTGAATAATGATCCATTTCATTATTTTTATAAATGGAGATTTTCTTATCGTACCACCGACGAGCGTTCTACGTACCACAGGTTGAAAAACGATGGTGTACAATATGTAGGTACAATGTATGTCTATCATGCGCATTGAGTATAATCACTGATTGTTACATGTATTCCTTACAACACACGGAATTTTGCAAAGTGTATAAATATTTACTGACTCTGCCCCTGACAGAAGTTACGGGTGAAAGGTCATTTTCGAAAATAAAATTGTTGAAAACACGATGAAGGTCCACTATTGTACAAGACAATTTAGAATAATTATTCTTAATGCATAAGATTCTGTGAACGAGACATAGTATATCAAGTAGATGGAGATCAAATCATAAATGCTCTGTCTTGTTCGGTGGGAGTGTGAATCTAGTTGGTGCATTGGGGAGGTCAAAATCCAATATTCCCATTAGTGTTCAAAAGTGCAGGGAAAAACAAAAAAACAAATTAAGGAAAACCTGGAATTTTTATGCAAAACCATTTTCGACAAAATAATCGATTTTGGTTCATGGTGTAACATTTTATACACACTCTACAATTATTCAGATATTACAACCCTCGATAATCGAAGCTCGATTTGTCATACAAACCGCGTCCGTAGCTTTTGAATTGTAAGTTTTCGTACATTTTTTCAAACACTTTTGAATTAAGCATACATACTCATACTCATATTTTGAAAAAAAAAAAAGGGTGTCTGGTAAGTACACGTATCTTGACCTTTAAACCTTATTTTAGAATTATCACAGACATCAATAACATTTACACCATATGTAAGTCTTGCCTATAATGTCTATGATAAGTTGGTGGTTGGTATATTAGACTATTATAAGTATAATCATATACATTACAGTGTTTACTGGGTAGTTTATATACTTGCTCTTAAAAGTAAGTACCTAAATACTTCATTAGGTACCAACGCCTTATAATATAATATTATTATAGGCATTGTTAAGTATTGTTGTGTTTTTAATATTACCTATTAAATTAATTTATATAAATACCAGAAAACAAATATTATCTACCTACCTACCGTTTTATCGTATTTAGAACTTTATAATATAAGTACCTAATTTATTAAAGCAAATCTAGTTCATACCTAGAGCTGCATATTTAATAAATTAAGTCATTAACAGTAATACTAAACCTACTTACACTTTTATTGAT